GAGAGAGAGAGAGAGAGAGAGAGAGAGAGAGAGAGAGAGAGAGAGAGAGAGCTTGGTGACATTTGGTCCAGACTCGACATGGGACTTCAGACATTTCGAAGAGGGATTATTTGGGACTTGTAACGAGACTTGGTGTTGACGACTTTCCCATCTCCCCCTTCCTCTTCTTCGTCTGATCCTTTCCTCTTCGTCTGTGTATGTCTGGACCTGGTGCCTCTTTCCTGTGTATAGCGCCAGGCCCCTTCACACTTTGTGATGAGCATGATGTATGTTTGATCTGCGTTGAAACATTGATTGGGCTAGTCATTAGTACTCTAGCATTCTGCTTCGCTATCTTATACTACGTGAAAGAGGTCAGTCCCGGTCAGGTCAGGACTTGTATCTAAAGTCCTCCCTGCGCTATAAAGCACCATTTTGTATGTACCGGAATGCACATTGCTTGTTGAGATTCTACTTGTACTGCATTGTCCATTCAGTCCTTTTTATCACATTGCGGACCTTCGGTTTCTATGTACATCGCCCAACTGGGCATGTATCACTGTGCCTCTGTTGCAGCTGCTGGGCCTCGTTCGGTTGGGCCTCCCAACTGCCGGTGTATGAAGCTCCGATTCTGGCCCAGGGCCTGCATTTCAGAAAAGGTCTGGGGGCCTTGGAATACCCTCGCTGCTCGGCCTGTGTTTCCCTCGACCAGCTGGCGCATCACAACTGCCTGGACCCCAAATGCGAAATTGACAGAAATGGACCGCAAGATTTGTTAGGCCCGCCTTCACTTAGGGCGGGCACATACAGATCAGAGGCCCCTTAGGCCTGCCGAGGACCCAGATCTTCGCACTACATCTCCCTGCATTTTTTTTTTCCCAATTTTAAAAGGCTGTTTTCTCCTCATATACAGGAGAGAGCAAAGGGATTACGAGCCGGGGTACTACTCCCCGCACAGGGTAGAACGCACGTCTCCCACCCATTTTGTTAAGATGAGGCATCCGTTAAAATTGGAACGATACAGAGAAGATTAGCATGGCCCCTGCGCAAGGATGACACGCACAACTTGAGATATGGTCCAAAAGTTTTCAAAAAAAAAAAAAAGTGCCCTTGGGGCCTTGGCCTATCTGCCACGGCCAGCCAAAATGAAAAGAAGTGCCGCACGGGTTTGTGTTTTTTTGGTGCACGCCGCACGGCACAAAGTTGCCTCTGGAAAAAGAGGCTCAGAAGTATCAGTGGTTTGCATGTTAGAAGATTAGCACACACCTGGTCTACATGCAGACAACCTGTAATAACAGAGTGATAGCACACCGGGGTATGGCGCTTGAGGACTAGAAATGAATTCGATTCAATGGTAAACAAGCCTTCCACCACATTCCATTCGTCGTTGACTAACTTACATGTACTGTGTATAGTCTTCAAGCACAATCCTCCTCCCTCCAGAGACGAACGGCTTCCTGTGGTAATCATAAACCCGGAATGATGGATTTCTATTGGAAAACGGGGTCACAGATGGGGCCACGAGACTTAAACTTGTTGGCACTGCACACAACGTACAAACATAACATCCACAGAAAGACCGGAAGGAAAATGTTCAGTAATATTGCATGTGGGAGGGTAGCTGTTGTCATTTTGAGACTTGCCGGAGGAAAAGGCACTGGACTGACACTCCTCAAAATGCACAAGGAGCCAGGACCATAAGGACCTGTTTCTTTTTTTTGCAATGAACCTCTTAGTTCAATCACCAGTGAGCGCACACAATCACACCACATGCATGTACGAGTTCACACGAATTTCACACTGGAGGTCAGAGAGATGAAGACCAGGTAGCGCAGCTTATAATTCCAACAAATTATCATAAGAGCAGTAAGAGTTCAAGTCACCAGCGCACATAAGCGCATACCAAAAGGTAACCAGTATCGAGCATAAACTCTCAGGTAAGTATCTCTTCCTCACTGCTCTTCTCTCTTATGCATCTCTTCCCCTCACTGGTCTTCTCCCTAACCACGTCCTCACTGTGTCTTCTCTCCCTACATGCCTGCACACTCACTAACTTCTACTTCAAGGATCTACTCTGAATAGACCCACTGATATATCTACTAACCCTCTAAAGTCTACTACTGTTACATGCTGCGCCTGCAACAGGCTGCACGGGCCACTTTCAGGCCCGTGACGTTTTCAGGCTGAAAGCCTGAAAACAAGGGCCTACAGGCCCCGTGTCGTTTCAGCCTGAAAGCCTGAAAACAAAGGGCCTGTGTCGTTGCAGCCTAAATCAGGGCCTTTCCGGCCCTGAGTCTTTTCAGCCTGAAACTGAGGGCTATTTTCAGGCTGTCATAAGATCGACCTGCCCTGAAACTCAGGCACCAGACCAGGGTTTTAGCTCAGGCCATTTTTGGCCTATTTTCAAGACAACCTTTGTTTGAGCTTCAACCCCAGGGTCTAGCACGTTTTGGCATTGGCAAGAGCAGCCTCCTGGACGGGCCAGCACTATATAAGACTGGCCCGCCCTGCAGGCTGCAGGTAGTTCCTAGGTACTTCCCAGGCACTTCACGTGCAGTTCAGGAGGGAGGAGGTAGTCTTCAGGACTCGGCAGCAGCACTCTGGAGGAGCGCTGAAGGAGTAGTAGTAGCGCTAGCAGTAGTCTTCAGCGCTGGGCGCTAGTAGCGTTAGCAGTAGTCTTCAGCACTGGGCGCTAGCAGGAGCTAGGGTAGTACTGGAGAGAGAGAGAGAGAGAGAGAGAGAGAGAGAGAGAGAGAGAGAGAGAGAGAGAGAGAGAGAGAGATTGGGCGGAGGCCAGGGGGACTTACCTGCAGCGCCATAGCTCCAGCTTCGTCTTCGAGGTACCAGCAGCTCAGCGCCAACTTCACAGGTTAGTACCCGGCACGTGAAAGAGAGAGAGAGAGAGTTCTTCTTCTTCCTCTTCTCAGTCCACCATCTCCCTCTCACCCTCCCGCTACCTGACTTCACTGCATCAGCAGACTACGAGAGAGAGAGAGAGCTTGGTGACATTTGGATCCAGACTCGACATTCGGCTTCAGACATTTTGACGAGGGATTATTTGGGACTTCTAACGAAGACTTGGTGTTGACAACTTTCCCATCTCCCCCCTCCTCTTCTTCCTCTGTCTCCCTCCTCTTCGTCTGTGCATGATCTGGACCTGGCGCATTCTTCCTGTGTGTCGCGCCAGGCTCCCTTCACACCTTGTGATGAAGATGATGTATGGTTAGTCTGCATTGCAACATTGATTGGGTTCGTCATTGGTATTCTAGCATTTTGCTGTGCTATCTTGTACTACGTGAAGGAGGTCAGTCCCGGTCAGGTCAGGACTTGTATCTAAGTCTTCCACTGCGTTATAAAGCACCATTCTTGTATGTATCAGAATGTACATTGCTTGTTGAGATTCTACTTGCTCTGCATTGTCCATTCAGTCCTTTTTATCACATTGCGGATCCTTGGTTATATATATACATCGCCCAACTGGGCATGCAACAGTTGGTGTCGGAACACCTCACGTGAATCAGGACAACCTGATCCGACACATGCGCAGGGACTAGGTAGCTGATTAGTCTTGATTGATTGATTAGAGCACACTAGTTAGCCCCCAAAATCACGATTTTGACCTCACTGACGAAAATCAAAATTTTTTTATTTTCTTGGATTTTGTTTTCCCGCTATTTCTGATGTGGAAAATCGCAATAGCGCAACACCTGAAATTTCCGTTTTCGTTTTTCTTCTGAAAATTCGAAATTTCGTTGTTGAAAATCCGGAATATCTTTTTTTTCAAAAAATTCAATTTCCTTTTGCAATTTCCCGTTATTTGGAAATTCAAAATATTTTTTTTTCGAAATTCGTTTTTTTGAAAACGGTACGGGAAATCCCTCGTGCAGTTATCATTCTCCAAACTGCGCGTACACTCATCTGAGTAATTCCGAATATTTTGTTGTATTTTATTTTCGGAATTCTTTATCGGAAAATGATTTGCAGTCTGAAAGTTCAAAATTTTTCTCATTGGTAATTTCGCACTTCAAGGGGAATTGGGAGGCCTACTGAACTTGCAAACGAGCTTTTTTTTTTTTTTTTTTCTCGATTTGTTTTGCAATTTTCAAACTTTTCCTTTTGATTAGTGGCTCCTTATCTGGGCGATTTATCCCAGCCGCCCCTCCCCACATATGTTGTTGCCCCCTCTGGTCTTATCTTCTCTATCTGTCTCCGGGTACCCCCAAAGGCGGCATTGGTGAGTTGCCACGTCAGCAGACCATGTCAGCAGGCCACGTCAGCAGGCCACGTCAGCAGACCTCGTCAGCAGGCCATGCCAGCAGGCCACATCAGCAGACCACATCAGCAGGCCACGTCAGCAGCAGGCAGTGCCACGTCAGCAGGCCCCCAGCCTGGTCTATGCTCACGCGCTCGCAAACAGCCGTCATGGACCAGAAGTTCGGGGAAACGGACGAGGACTATCAGGCCCGGATGCTGCTTCTGATTACCGAAGCCAAGCAACGGTCGGATGCAGTAGCAGCCGCAGCAAAGCAGAAGGTAGAGGACGCCGAGAAGGCACGTCTGTTGGCAATCGAAAAGCAGCGCCAGCACGACGAGGCAGCAGCAAAGGTTGTCGATGAAGAACGAATTCAACGACGCGAGAAGATAATTCAGCGGAGAGCGAGCTTTGCTCACAATGGCAGCGGACTGGCGGGCCAAGGCCAAGAATGGCAAGATGGAAGAGAGTGAAAACAAGATCGCTCTACTCCTCTCCCATCTCACGGACCTCCTGGCAACATGCATTACAAAGCGGGAGGACATCCACAGCCTCGACAACGCGATGGCTCAAGTCCACAGCCGCCTCCGGCAGCTGGAACAGCGACCCATCACCGCCCCCGATGCGAGCTCTTCCAACACCTCCGATCGTCTCGAGGCATTGGAGATTGACGTCGGATCCCTCAAGGACGACGTGCAGTTACAGCAAACCGCCACGCAACAGTTAGAGCAGCGGATCTGTACTCCCACCGCCCACTCGAGCTCGGAACCGCGCGAGACAACTCCAAGGTCCGATGATCAGGAGATCTTCTGCGACTCTACGAAGATGGACCCGGTTCCATGGTTCCACAAGTTCGAACTCAAGTTGCAGCTCCACCACGTCAGTGGACACAAGCACCACGCGTACTTATACTCCCGGTCGGGGGGCGCGTGCCAAGCATGGTTGGACAATCTCTCGTCCAAGTACGGAGTGGTGGCTGCTGACTTGCACACCAAGATCAACTGGGACGATCTAAAGGCGGCGTGGCATAAGCGGTTCCAAGTAGAGCCGTCGGAGATCAAGGCAATGGACAAACTGATGACCTCCGAACAAGGCACGTTGCCGAGTGTTGACTGGATTGCCGAGTACCAATGCTTGACATCCGTCCCAGACCTTCAAATGGGCTTCAAGGCCGTCAAACACTACTTCATCTCGAGGTCGTGCCCGACGTTGGCAATGGCTCTATGGACGGTTTTCAGGAGGTCGGCGACATCGTCTCCCAGCGATGCTACGGCAACAGGCCAACCGAGTACTTGGTACATTTTGCGTACTGCACTCACAAAGTTGACCGTTGGTTGACCCGTGCGGAACTCCAAGCAACAACTCTGGATGTTCTCACACACTATGAACGCAACATGCAAGGCAAGCTGGTACCTTCAGCTCCACGTCGCACCCGCGTCCAGGTTCCACCTTCAAATCGTCAGCTTCGTCCTCGACCCGGCTTGACTTCATAAGGAGGGGGGGGTGTTGCATGTTGTGCCTGCAACAGGCTGCACGGGCCACTTTCAGGCCCGTGACGTTTTCAGACCGAAAGCCTGAAAACAAGGGCCTACAGGCCTGTGATGTTTTCAGCCCGAAAGCCTGAAAACAAGGGCCTACAGGCCTCGTGTCGTTTCAACCTGAAAGCCTGAAAACAAGGGCCTACAGACCCTGTGTCGTTTCAGCCTAAATCAGGGTCTTTCCGGCCCTGAGTCTTTTCAGCCTGAAACTGAGGGCCATTTTCCGGCCCTGAGTCTTTTCAGCCTGAAACTGAGGGCCATTTTTGGCCTATTTTCAAGACAACCTTTGTTTGAGCTTCAACCCCAAGGTCTGGCACGTTTTGGCATTAGCAAGAGCAGCCTCCTGGACGGGCCAGCACTATATAAGACTGGCCCGCCCTGCAGGCTACAGGTAGTTCCTAGGTACTTCCCAGGCAGTTCACGTGCAGTTCGGGAGGCAGGCGGTAGTCTTCAGGATTCGGCAGCAGCACTCTGGAGGAGCGCTGCAGGAGTAGTAGTAGCACTAGCAGTAGTCTTCAGCGCTGGGCGCTAGTAGGAGCTAGGGTAGTACTGGAGAGAGAGAGAGAGAGAGAGAGAGAGAGAGAGA